TAGTACAGCTAAAGTATGTTCATACTACAAATCCTAGCTTGTTTGGGAGCAGGAAGTCGGTGTCCTGTTTCAGATAGTATACCAAACAAACAATGCTGCGGGTTTTTAAAAGCTTCTTGTACTGGGGAGAAGAGCCACGTGAGAGTAAAGGGGCTGTCTACATAATCACAACACAGTTGATGTGTACCATTCTGTATAAATGCAGCTGATGCAATTTACAGCATGATCCGACTGAAAAACCTGCGGATTGCAGAAGTGTGCATAGGATTGCATTTATAATCTTCATGTTTCTTTCAGTATGTTTACCACATTCTCCAAGTTTGCTTCCTTTTCATATTATCAGTGGTTGAACCTTGTCCTTTCCAAGTGAAAGTTTTTCTTGCTTTAACTTATTGACTCCGGTAAGTGTGAATGTTACTCTTAAAATGACTCTTCAGGTACATAGGTGAAAGATCAGAAATCTTGTTTATACCTTAACAGAGAGTTTGCGCTCAGAAACTCTTATTTATTGCCTTCACCACCCTCAAACCTGGCCCTCTGTTGCAAGGATTCTTACAAAGAACATTGATATCAGATGTAAACTTCCAATATAATCACTGTTTGCTTTCTCAGAAGTAAGCCCCACTGAATTCAATGGGAATTTTCCCCAGCTAAGTATGTGCAGGGTTGCAGCATTGGAAAGTTAAAGTAATAGTACAGTTAAGAAGATCACATGCTGATGGGGAATGAAGCTTCTCATGTTAGAGATGATTACGTGTTCATTTATTAAGCAAGACTGGCAAGTGTTTCCAAATCCCCCCCTCCCCTGCCGCCACCCCAAGCCATGGATGGCATGATTTCAGAGGGGAAAAGGGTGTTATCAGAAAAGAGAAAAAAATCATAGGTTAAAACTGAATTGTGAGTGTTCCTTTTTACTGATGAAGATAGTCACATGTCTATCACATTAATATTTCTTCCTTTTATATTTTAATATGGTATATAATAGAAGCAAAAGGAGAAGGGGATGTCAGAGGATGAGGTGGCTAGTTGGAGTCACTGGGGCAGTGGGTATGGGCTTGGGTGGATTCTGAGAGATGGTCGAGGACAGGAGGGCCTGGAGGAATGTTGTCCATGGGGTTGTGATGGGTCGGCATGACTTTGCGACTAAACAAAAAAAAAGTACATGATATCAGAGTGTAAATAATTCCCAAAGCAAAAAAAGGTATAAAAGGTAATGGATCAAACATTTTCAGTTCTGCATCACATCTTCATAGGATTGGGGAGGGAGTCAACAGTGTGTTAAGTTCAGGGAACAAGGGGTAGGTTTTTGTTTTTGTTTTACATGAAAACTTTGGAAGAAATTCTAAGTAAGTATGAAACTATGTGTGCCAAAGACAGTATACATTTTATTGAATGGATACAGAAATGAACTATGGATGCAGATTATTCATAAAACAAGCAAAAGAAGAGTTTACATTGTCTCTCTAGTCATATTGCTTCCTGATGTGACAGGTATTGCTCCTGGGAGCAATATACCAGCTACTCAGCCTTTCTGGGAGACAAGGGAAGGGAGAGTGAAAGAAGGCTCAGCAAGAGGATATGTAAACATCCTTATCTCAAGGATAAAGGAAGGAATTCATGACACCTGGTAGCTGGTGATCTCATGCTTTCATCTAGGCCTTTGAGGTTCCTCACAGCATTTCACCCTAACAAATACTTGTGGCTACATTTAATGGCTCTGCTGGACACAGGGAACAGTTTTACTTCTAAATCTGCCTTTTAAAACCCTGTGAGCGAAATGAGAGGATGTCTCGGTCCAAGGAACAATGAAGTTGTTGCTAGTGGTGTTGGAAGAAAGCCACAGCACCTTCAAGTGAGTTCAGACTTTGATGACTCTGACCTCAAATTTTGCAACAGACCAGCTTGTTTTTTGAGTTGTATGGATCCTACAGACCTAGGGACTGTTTTATAACTGGAGGGATCTCTGCAAATTTGCACTGTGTCCGATTTGTCTTTTTCTTGTGTTTGGATGTTTAGCTTTGATCCTGGACCCTCCTATGCATATCCCAAGTGCAGAAATGTCACCTAAGGATTCCACGGTTACAGTATTTATGGTATTAGCATGCAGTGTTCCTGGAAGAGAGGATGCAAGAGTGTCTTTTCATCATTTCTTCACCATCACAAGCAGTTTCTACATAGTTTTGTTATAAGAGCATAGAATGCACGAAGTCCTGTGCCCTCAGACTTTGGGATGCATTGGATCCTGTGCTGGGAACAAAGTGTGGGGGCTGTGATTTCTGCCCCCCACTATGCCCTCTGTAGTGTATTCTGTGATGATGAAGCTGGTCATTGTTGTAACCCCCTCATAATCGAACATGCAGCCAGGGCATGGCTCGTCACGGGTAAAAGAAAGCATGATCAGGGTGTCCTGTTCACGTGAACAAGAACAGGAACCCCAACGAATGTGCACGCTACGCAAGGATGAAAACAAAGTAGGCTACGCTCAAGCATAACCGCCAACGTCACGCCCTTGTACCCTCGCTTGCTTGCTTTAGCATGGGAAAAGTGCAAAATGTGCAAATGTAACTCAGTGGGGTTCCCCATTGCTCGCTGTTATTCAAGCACCGGCATAGCTGTAAAAGAGTATTAAAAAAGCTGCATTTGTCTGCTCGGGACCACACTCCTATGAGTGCTTGGTCCCTGCAGGTAAATAAATCTCTCTCAATAATTCCAACCAGTCTCCGGTCTCATCCGTAAAACCGCGCTATACAACAGTCATCTCTGCTAGAGGTGATTCCTTACCTGGTTTCCTCTGTCTCTGGCAACCAGGCCTCTCCCAGTAATTCACTTCAAACCTGAAACCACTTTTGGTTAGGCCAGCCTGTGTGGAGGGCACTAGGCTGGGCTGCTTTAAGCAGTTCCTCTCCTCTCCTCTCCTCTCCGTCCCCATTGTTCGTGTGCTGAGACTGGCTCTCTCCTATGGATTTTTTCCATTTAAAATGATGGAAGAGACAGTGGTCTGTGTTTCCTATATGGTGTCTGGCTTTGCCCCGTGTTTGCTTAGGTCATTTCTGTCCTTGTCCTTGTCAGCAGGGAGCTTGTTTCGAATGTCAAGATTGCAGAGGAGCTCTGGGTGCACCACAGGTGATCCAGTTTATATTTTTTCATTTATTCTACTAATATCCTAGTTTTCTTTCAAGGAATTTAAAGTGCATGCTGGGAGACCAGTTAAGAGAAATGCATTAGGAAGTATAAACAAAAAGGTGCTTTTGGTGGTGGCGATCTGACTCCTGAATCCTGGGGATATTTGCCTGGGCCAGTGTTGTATGCTTTCAGATGCCAGGTTCACATTTTTTTTCTTATTTGCCTGAGTGTGTGATAGGTTTTCGTGATAATGGGTATAGCTGAATGATGACTTGTCATTTTCTTTCTGTTCACTGCTTGGGAGCCCACTTCAGTGGCTGGAAGTGATCTATCTATCTTCTATCTAATATTGTATTATTGCCTAGATAATAGCAAAGGAAGACATCTGCGTGGCAGTCAGTGCCTCCAGCTCCAAGAGCAATGAACTTGTACTAAGGTTATCCTGGGGACATGCATCTCAGAGTGATTTGGTTGTGAGAATGCATCTTGCACGCATCCTTTGACACCTGCAGTACCATCTGCAGTCACTTGGGGAGGGTCCAGAGCCCAGCGGTGGATCACACACTTTGTCTGCAAGAGCTTCCAAGCTCAATTGCTGGCATCTCTAGGTAGGGTTGGTAAACTCCCACCTGTCAGTGGCAGCAAAATAGTGGACAAGACGGATCCATGTCTGGCTCAGTTTAAGGCAACTTGTTGTGTTCCACTAGGTGGCAGGCTTCCCTAACCAGCACACTGTTTTGCACTTGCCATATAGAGTCATAGGATGGTACAGTTGGAAGAGGCCAGAAGTCCATCATGTTCAACCGCTGCTCAGTGCAGGACAGCTAGTTAAGCCATCCTTCTCAGATGGCTGTCCAGTGGCATCTTGAATGCCTGCAGTGTGGGACAGCCCACAACCTCCCAAGGTAATTCGTTCCATTGTTGCACTGCTCAAACGGCCAGGAGATTTCGCTTCCTCTAACTTGAGCCCTTTATTCCATGTCCTACACTCTGGGATGATCAAGAAGAGACCCTGTCCTCCTCTTTTGTGACAATCTTTCAAGTACTTGTAGAGTACTACCATACTTCCCCTCAGTCTTCTCTTTTCGAGGCTAAGCGTGCCCAGTTCTTTCCTTATAGGGCTTTGTTTCCAGTCCCTGGACCACCCTTGCTGTTCTCCTTTGACCCCTTTCCAGCTTGTCTGCGTCTTTCTTAAACTGTGGTGCCCATACAGTTGAAAGCCAGTAAGGATTATTTGGAGGGGCAGAGTTCATAGAATCATAGAATAGAAGGGGCCATGAAGGCCACTGAGTCCAACCCCCTGCTGTTGCAGGACACCGTGTCACACCATCCCACTCAGAAGGCTATCCAGTTTCTTTTTGAATGTCTCTAGTGTGGGAGTTATATGCCTGTCCCCTTTTTCCTGCCATGGGGGAGCACTCCCTTCCAGAGAATGAATGGGTCACCCCCTCCCTCAGGGAGCAGCGTGGCAGGGACTATGCCCAGGCGCCTTGGCTTCACTCAGATAGGGCAGGCACAATGTGTCCAAATGAGACAGCTGCCTAACTTTGCCTGAAGTCTTTACAGTATGAAACTAAGGACTACAATAACTCATGTGAAGGCAGATATGTTCACTACTATGCATATCTATATTATTTTCACAGCTACCAGACCAATGACAGAACTTGTACTAGTTCTTCAAAGCGTGTTAAAGTTTAAATTCCCATCATGCCACCAGATAGGCAATGTCAACTGGGTTGTAGCCATGTTTACTCAGAAGTAAATCTCTGTGTGTTGAATAGCACTTGTTCCCAGGAAAGAGTACATGGAACTATAGTTCTGGCTGCCTTATGAATAGAAATTCTCACTTATATTCCTCTCTTCTTGTCTTTTTGCAGCGTATCATCGGGGCCTACAAGAGTGGACTTTACCTTAAGGGAAACACAAGTCTGGGCAGATGGGACTATGTTGGCTCCTTTTTCTTCTCTGTTTCTGCAGTAACAACAATTGGTAGGACTCATTCTACAAAACAAACGTTTTAAAAAGCCTCCTTTTTACCTCCTTCCCGAGTGGCCAAAGATCACCTTGAAGAGGCAATATTTGGGAGAATTCTTGTAGGTAGTGTTTTGCCCTCTTCTTCAGAAAGTTTGCTCACCTGCATGGTGTCCAACAAATGAAGCCATCTCTATTCAGGGCTAAACTCATCCAGCCAAAATAGCATCAGCTGGGATTAGAGGACAATTATCATGGAGACTGCAACAGCCCAGGAAGGGGAATTCAGTTGTTTTGTTCCCTGCTGTGGCCCTGAGAAATGCCCTCTCTGAAGCCAGTATTTGTACTGGGGGGAATTCCTTGCAGACTGCAGTGGGGGATTTCCCCCAAAGCCACCGCAAGCTTCAGAGGAGGGATTTTCCTTTGGACCACAGCAAGAGAGGAAAGAGGGATCCCAATAATTAAGAGCACATGAAGACACCAGCTAGGCTTATGTAGCCCAGCTGCCACAACATGAAGCCCACAAATATGGCATGAGGGCAGGTAGCACCTTCCTGCTGCTCTCCCTGCAAATGCACCCTGTGATCCTGGAGGGGGCACCCTAACCCTAACCCTGACAGCTAGCTACCCAAAGCCTTCTCCTTCCCTGCATTTGTCTGATCTCCTTGGCGAATGATCTGCCAAGCTGCTTGCGTTTTTTGAGAACTTGCACCTTCAACGCAAAGTTGACCTTCATGGGGGGGGGGGGTCCCCACTGTGTCTAGCTAATGACTGAGCACAGTGGAGGCCCCCAGGCACCCCCTCCCTGCTCCCCGCCTGGGTCCTTCCACAGAAGGGAGGATCCTCTTGCACTGGGCTTCCAAACTGAGCAGTGGGAAAGCCCCTCCACTTAGCAAGCTGCCCACTGAGTGGAGGGGCACATGCCTCTCCTGTCACCTCTGTACATGACCCGACAGGGAGAATTGCCCCCCGCACTGGCCTCTCACCCACCCATGCTTGTTCTAGCACCAAGGAAGTGTGACAGGGTGGCTGGTTCGGCAAGTGGAGGGCCTTGGTGGCTTCCCTGCCTGCCCCTGTTGAAGCCAGGGAGAGAGTGGGATTGGTTGCAAGCAGTCTTGCTCTCCTGCAGGCTGCTTGGGCACCTTGGTGGTTGTCATTGGCTAGAGCCCCTTAGCCAGAGCTGCTTCCCACTTTTACCACTCTGGCCAAGATGCTCCAGCCAAGGAGTCAAGGGCCTCTCTACCCTTTTGGCCTGACTAGTTTCACATATCATTCAGGTTCAGACAACCTACTAAGCCAGGTGGAGTTTCCTAAACTCCACTGTGAGCTCTGCCTAGTTGGGGTGGTTTCTAAGCCGCCCCTCAGGAAGCAGAGGGGGTTCAGATGACAGGCTAATCCATCCCCCTGGTGGCTGAGTAGGTTACATGAACTCCACCAATGGATGCTCACCACTGTTGCCTGGTGACCAGCCAACCAACCCGGTAGCACAAGGGGCAGGACTTTTTTGGCTTCGAGCCCTGGGATGGGTGGCTCTCTTGCTGAAGGGGTGTAACAGCCCCCCACTGTTGGCTCTTTAAAGAAGCATGAGCATAGTTCAAGGATTTTAATTAGTTTTTCTATATTACACACGTGATTTCTTGAGACTACTTTGTCCTACTGGTTTTATAGTCGTGATTTTTATGGCTTTATTGATGGTATTTTATTGGCTACTTTATGGCTGGTCTTTATATGTTGTCAGGTGCCTTGAGGGCTCCTTTAACAGCTGTGGGTTGGAATGTAAATTGCATAAAGAAACCGACTGTCTCCATTTAGAACTTAAAGTGCTTGTTGCCCGTCATTCTCACTGACATCTTTCCTTTCCCCCACTTTTTGAGAAAGCGCATTGGCTGCCTTTATGTGGGCAGCAAAGGCTCACTCATTCACTGGCGGGATTGCCTGGGGAGGGAATCTTGTCTCCTCTGCATCGCATTCCTTAGATCTCTGCAGTCATCTCGTTCCTTGTGCAGATACAACACAAACCGAACATTGTTGGTGCCCTCATTTCTGACATCAGAAATGCTCAGGCAGCCTATGAAGAGCTTTCTCTGCCCTGGAGGACCCCTCCCCCATAGAGTCTCCCACGACTCTGGTTCGGAGCATGTGGGGAACTAATGCTGTGTGTCTCTGTGTGCTTGTCTGTCAAACTATGCACTGGGGCTGCAGTCTCATTCGGCATCCAGATGGACCTGCAGGAGATACCTTTAGGGCAAAAGGGATAGATGGAGGAGGAGAGCCCAGCCTCCCCACACCTAGTGCCTCTGGCCTCCGCCCCGCAGGCATTGCTTCCTCTTCCAGCCAGACCCATTTGGAATAGCGGAGCCAGGCTGTAGGGAGGTAACATTGGAAGAATCCACAGTGCAGCAGTTCAGATGCAATGCAAGAAGCAAGCTGCAGCGAGGGAGGGCTCACACCCTATCCAGGTACCCCTTTTGCTGAGCAGTGTCAGGAGACTCCACTCCTCTCTCTCAAAAAGGATGGTGATACCTTGCTGCCAACCAACCTCGTTTGAACTCAGTTTGCTTCTCTTGCATTCTGCTATGTAAAAATAGTTGCTCACTCAGGCCAAATATGTGTGTCGGGTCACTAATTTCCACTTTCACAATGTGTCTGCTGGGCCCAAAAGGGGAAGTGTGCAGTGTGTCTGGCACTGACAAATGCACACATCTATATGTGGGCATGTGTGAAGCATGCATTTGTCTCTGGGCTGCCACCAATCTTCAGTTGAGTCACAAGATGGCACTGCTTCCTCATTCTGCCTCTGGCACGCCTCCCGTGGCCAAGGTTGCCTTGGCCTTGTTGCATCACGCCAGCAGCGGTTCCCAGACAGGCAGCAAGGTGCTGAAACTTCTGGTCAGGATCTGAAAACGCAGCCAGTGAAGCTCAGCAGCATATTTGGAGTGTTGCCACCATGGAGTCAAGATGAGCAGCCTCCATCCTTATACTGATCAGTCCCATTCTGTACTCGAGCAAATCTCTAGAAGGTTTATTCTTTTCTTCAGTGCAGACAGGTATACTTGTAAGGAGCTTCTTCCACCCTTCCTAACACATCCCCTGAAAACTTTCTGCATGTACAATTTTCCTGTTACTTATACTGAAGCATGTTCTGCAGTACTTCAGAAATCGCTTTTATGTGACCTGAGGTGGACACATCCATAACCTCTCATGGGAGAGAAGAGCAGAACCTAACTGCTGCCATTTTGTAAGCACCAGGTGGGATTCTGAAGAGAGCTTTTTGGAAAATGAGCACACATAACCACATATAAGCAGAGGACTTCCTGTGGTGGTGCCTGGCTGGGTCCTGGTGCCGTATTCTACATAGTTAGCCTAGCCTCACAAGAGTTGACCCTGAATACACTTGTGTTGGTTGGCAGTCAGCTCCATCATTAGCTGGGGGGTCTCAGCCCTTCCCAGTTTGGAGTGAAGGATGTCAGATGGCATCAGATATCTTCAGTCCTACTCCAAAAGGGGTTCCTGTGCCATAACTTTGTTTCCCCCACAAATCTTTTTCATCCATTTTATGTGCTTGGTTACACTTTAAAGAGCTGAAAGTAAATGTTTTATTAGAAAACACTTACACAGCCTTTTGTACTAGTAAGCTGCATTTTGAAGGACAGTTTGCCAGGTGTATGCACAGGTGACCTAGGTGGGCCTGCCTTCCCCTCTAGCATGGAAGTATACCCCAGCCCCTTGAACACATTGCCTAAGCAGGAATGTCACAATGCTGGAGAACCGTAACATGAGACTCTGTGTGGAGATGTGCTGGGTGGAGAATGCAAGGAGGAAGAAGCCAGGAGTGGTTTCTTATATAATGGAGAGACAACCTTAGTGCCTACAGAAAAATGACTTACTAAAAAATGCTCCCTGTGCAACTTGGCAAGAGTGTTCATCTCCCCTCATGCTGTCTCCAAACTTTAGCAGGCAGTTCCCTTTACCCTAACTTCCTGCAGACACAAACATTTCCCTATCTGGTGCAGGAAGTTAGGGTAAAGGGAATTGGGTGCACTACTGGAGCCCATTGCTTGAGCCAGACATTTCCCAGCTCAAGCAGAATGGTGGCAGCAGTAGTGGATGACCTCTGGAAGACCCACGGCAGGCCTCCTCATAGAGTGGACACTTCCTGACTCTAGCAGAACTGCCCCCAGAAATGTGTCTATGGAGCCAAGCTCTTCAATGCAGCCAAAGAGTATAGCTTGCTGCTTTGGGAATTGTGGTGGAAATCCAAGTTTAGGCATACCCTCTGCAGTATATTGCTTTGTATGGAATGTAGGCCTCCCCAGACATAGTGATGACCGTGCACATTCCATGGGAGGCAATATGTGAAAGGAACAACATCTGCATTTGGAAGTGCCTCTGATTTGCGCCAGTGGTTCCCATGAGATTGCACCAACATGCCAGGAGATCACATCTGTGTGTCTGGTCAGCTCCATTGCTCATTCAAGTTCTCAGCTCCTTCCACTGGGGCAGACTGAAGGCTTCCCTTTGTATGGCATGTACATGAAGATCTGCTTCTCCAACCACATCAAGAGGTACATCTCCATCCTGAGTTGGATGAATGAAAAATTTCAGTGGGATGTAGAGAAGGGAGAACAAAAGGAAGAAAAATACCCACTTTTTGTTCTGCTCCTCTGCAAACAATGCCTAATTTTATAGGACAAGGATGAGCAATGTAGGCCAGATGGACTACAGCTCCTATTATCCACCATCCTTGACTGTACTAACTAGGCCTAATGGAAACTATAGTCCACAAACCTTTGGAAAGCCACAAGTTCCCCAGTACTCCAGTAGGACATCATCCTATATTTAGACATGTATGTATTTAATGTACATGTTCTATTGGAGAATAATACACAAATGAATGTTTTTCCCATGAATTGGCCAGTTTATTCATATTGGCCATATCTTTATTACTAGCCAGTAGATGGCAGCACATGGACAGTGGAAAGGCTTTGCCAGAATTCTGTGTATTTCTCATTTGCTCT